CCTGAGCTCAAAGCGTGAAAAGCAGTTGTGGATGTCAGGATTCCCCGGACACTCGTTCACCGATGATCAATTTCCCATCCTCTGCCCCCATCCTGCCCCCACACATCAGCATCACTCCCACACGAGTAAATACAGTGAGTGGCTTAATGCATTTTCCTCTCCAGGGAGTCTGCAGACCAAAATGGCATGCAGGGGGGTGTAAATAAATAAATATCCCGTTGAGTGGTGGAGTGGATTCTGCTGAATAGTGAACCTCCGTATTTCCTCCCGCTGTCCATGAAAGGGAATTAGGTTTTTTTGTGTATAGGGGCATGAACATCATGGCTCTAGAGGAGAGTGTGAAGCATGGAAATATTAACCCTGTAATGCCGAATGTATCATATTTGATACGGTTTCTGAAATGTTTTGCGTCTGACTCCTTTTGCATAATTTAATGGTAAAAACTTTGCTAATAATCCTATTGTACATAATCAGATTTTAATTGTTTTTTTTATATTATTTTATTTTTATTTATTTATATATATTTATTTATATATTTATCTATTTATCTACTTATTTTAATTTCATTTATTTCTTATTTTTATTTTTTTCATTATTATTATTTTTCTATTGTACACAATCAGATACACCTGATAACAGGGGGCAGAAGACTACACCAAAAATAATCTTGACTTATCGCATAGTAATAAATTATTAATATTAAAAATGTATTTCGTTTTTTTCTTTTTACACATTTAGTTAAAAGGCCAAATAAGGAATTCAAACCAAAAAAAAGTAAATTTCTGTTTTGTTTTGTTCTTGGATCGGGCTTTAAAGGGTTAAAATTAACAAAGTAGCTCCGGTCAAATAAAGGGAAAAAAGTGTTGTACGTCGCTGCCACTTTAACTAAGTTTACAAAGCATCTCAGTTCTGTTACACAGGTTCTGTTAATTGAAGCTAAATTGATTAAAAACAAACATAAATTTGGCCCCTAAGGAAATCAAAGGTGCATGTTATAGTGAAACTTGATCGCTATGACCAATGAGCTTAACCGCTTTCAATTCACTTCAATTAAATTTTATTTCTATAGCGCCACATCACAACAACAGTTGTCTCACAGCTTTCCAAACAGAGCAGGTCAGACC